GTATGGATTGTGATAAGAGTTGCATGAGCCCCTAATAAAATGATTAGAAAAAAATTTAAAAACAAAAAAAGGATTTTGTCTTCCTTGGACCCACAATCAATGCTCATAGAAGCAACAATCAAGAAACCCAAAGATTTCATAAGGTAAATCTGCTGCATGAGACCTCTTTAGGGTATTAAAAAGTAAGGATGTTTCTTTCAGGACTAAGGTGCGCCTAACCCAAGCCATGTTATTCTCATTGCTTTATGCATGTGGAAGTTGGACACTATGGAAACCAGAGATGAATCGATGCGTTTGAATTGTGCTGGCGAGGACTATTGAACGTACCATGGACTGCTAAAAAGACAAATAAGTCTGTCTTGGAAGAAGTACGGCTAGAGTGCTCCTTAGAGGCAAAGATGGTTAGACTTAGTCTTAAATACGTTTTACATACTGTCAGGAGAAAGCAGTCCCTGAAGAAGGACATTATGCTTGGTAAAGTGTAGGGGCAGCAAAGAAGATAGGTCCTCAACAAGGTAGATGATTGACACAGTGACTGCAGCACTGAGCTCAGGTATAGGAACAGTTTGGAGGGCAGCATAGGAGCAGGCAGTTTTTGTTCTTTTGTGCGTAGGCTGTGGGCGGGAACGGACTTGATGGCACCTAACGACAGCAACAAGGGGATATATACACCAGTGTTCATTGTTGCACTATTTACAATAGATCAAAGGTAGAAACAAGTCAAATGTTAACAGATAAATAAACTAAATATAGTGTGTGTGTGTGTATATATATGCAATGAAATACTACGCACTCCAAAAATTTTTGATCTTTTATCACACATGAACCTTAAAAATATGCTGAGTGAAATTTTAGACCCCAAAAGACAAAGATTGTATCATTTCACTTATGAAATATTTAGAATAGGCAAATATAGCTGCCACAGGTGAGCAGAAAAAGGAAAAGGGGGTATCAATGATTAAGATATCTTGTTTGTGCTCAGGGTAAGGAAAATTTATAAATTTTCTACTACATGTTATACATGTAGTAGTTCTACAACATGGTGAACAATAATGTCACCAAGTTAATTGAACATGTAAAAACGGTTGAAATGGTAAATGTTATATATTTTAACATAATTTAAAAACCTGGGTGGGTCAGGGGAGTCTAAAAAATAAAA